GCCGATGTCGCTGCCGGGACATCGTTAACCGAGCCAATCCCGATAACACGGCCCTTTTTCCTCGGAACGACCTGTAAATTAAAATATTAATAACCGAAGCAATAAAATTAAATAAATAATAAAAATTAATATTTTAAAATTATTTACCTCCTCGTAAATCTTATCCACTTCAAGAGTGGATAATACGACCGGAGCCCCACCTAATCTAAATTCCCTAAACTAACCACCTAAACTAGGAACTAGAGAGTATCTTAAGAGAAAATGGAGAGGAACTTACTATGACTGAGAAGTCGGATTGCTCGTGTATATATAAGGAATTTTGTTTCCTCGTAAAGCCCTAGTATTATTACTAGGGCTTTACGATGAAACAGCTATGCCCGTGTTTTCATTTCCTCGTAAGGTCCTAGTAAGGTCCTAGAAACAATAGCACTAGGGGTTTACGAGGAAAACCTTTACGAGGAAATAGCAATGCCCGCGTTTTTTTCCTCGTAAAGTCCTCGTAATGCTTACGAGGAAATAGCTATGCCCGTGTTTTCTTTTACTAGGGCTTTACGAGGAAAGGATTTGTAAATCCCTAAACCCTTAACCTTAAACCTAAACCCTAAACCTAAACCAACTTCCATAAATCTAAACCTTAACCTTAAACCTAAACCTAAACCTTAACCTTAAACCTAAACCCTAAACCTAAAAAAACTAAAAGAAGTATACAGTCATCGGAACGGTTTTTATCAAACCCACATAGCTTTCCTCGAGGAAGAAAAGCCCCAAACTATTTCTTTGAGGAAAAGCTACGAGGAGTTGATAAGAAACTATTCTGTTGACAGTGAACTCCTTTCAGTTATGAATTGAGTATTTTGTATTTGTTTGGTGTGTTTCAAATGAATCACATATGGTGGTATTTATAGAAATTTTAGAATCTGAGAATTTATTAGGAAATTGCTAGGAAACCTATATTTTTTATCTAGTTCCTCTTAATTTCGTAGTAACAAAACTATTTACGAGGACCTTACGAGGAAAATGTACTTTTCCTCGTAAGGTCCTCGTAAATATGCTATCTAGTTCCTCTTAATTTCGTAGTAACAACAACTCATTCCTCTTAAAGTCCTCGTAATGCTTACGAGGAAATAGCTATGCCCGTGTTTCTATTACTCGGGCTTTACGAGGAAAGGGTTTGTAATTCCCTAAACTCGAAACCCCAAACCCCAAACCACAACTTCCTTAACTTATAACCTCTCCTACAACTAAACTCCTAACCTCTTCTACACATAAATCCCAAATTCATTTTTTTTATTAAACAAGCTTAATTAAAAACATACGTAATTCAACTCTTTTTTTGTTATTAAGCAAACTTATAAAACATACTTAATTGAACTTGGTTTTTTGATTAAACAAACTTATAAAAACATACATAATTCATTCGGATACATTCTCATAATCCGTAGAAACATCATCATTTTCGGCAAACTCGTCCTCATCAACAA